AGAATATCATGGTTGTTTGAATATGTCATACATACACGAGAAAAAAAACTTCTGCATCAGGCGGAACAGAACCACCGTCCTCCCACACGTAGCGCTATCGCACTACCCACTTGGCCAGGCCGCCGCTGCCTGATCAAAATTCAGAACGTAACTTCAATACACTGAAAACCTTTTCCCCGTCATATTTCGCCTCCCCTTTGTGTTTCGCAAAAATTTCTTGCATATTAATGATCAGCTCGAGGAGCTCTACAATCTGATGTATATTTCATCACGAAACGCCAGATTAAGTTTGTGACCTTTCCTAGTTAGTCAAAAGGAGCGAATTCCAAACAATTGAATCAATTTTTTCTGCTTCGTGAGGAACTTCGACGTTCAAAACAACTCAAAACGATTGATAACCAAAGAGAGCGAATCCGCTTTTGGACATCTTTCGGAGGATTCAATTTCATGCTTGTATAGTGATGCTGAGGATATCAGAATGGATATGTGGCCTATGATTGCTATCATAAAATAAATTTCAAGAAAACAACGGCCCTTACCAATCACGGTTTTATTTTTTCGTAATGGAATTGTTGCGGTAAAAACACTTCGCCACTCTCGTCATGCGTTCGTTTCCAAACGTTTTCGAACTGCTCAACAGCAAAGTCATAAAATTCCCGTTCCATCGTATAAATCTTATCGGATCGAACTCTTTCCAGTGTACTCTCCAGTGGTGGAATCTTCTTTTTTGTACTCCGCAAATGAGCGTGTTTAGCTGAAATTCTCATTCAGTTACACATCTCATACTGAATGTTCTTTGAATTGAACATTTTCGTGAAACAGGCATAAACGATACCGACTGACAGTGATTACGAATTAGGCGTTCTTGAATCTCTAATATTGAAATCAATTACGTCTACGCACGTTCTTATTATGAGTGTGATGTTGTTGGGTTGTTTCTATGAGTGTCTCATTACTCATAACCTAAGATTTCATATTCTACTCCAATGTTTCCGATATGTTGAAGGAAGTGTGTTTCGACGTTATCCAATAGAATTTTCAAACAAAGCATTGATATGTTTCAACAAATCGTTGGACAAGTATTCAATCGATCAATCGTAATGTATTTTTGTGCTCCTTCTGAGTCCTTCTCCCTAGAATTCATTTAGCAATACGGGAGAGTAGCCCAAAACCTTTGTGCTTGCCAGATCAATAATCCAAGTTCGGATTTCATGAAGACAGACTCCAAGTTAGAATTTCACGAAGACAGATGATTCCAAACGCTATTATCGTTAGGGAAAGAAGAATGCCAAGGAAGGAAGAATGTGATATTAGTGATATTGGAGATAACAGAGAGGCATTAAATCGTAATGAGTTGGATTTGCTGATTAAATAAAATAAACATTGATGGATGTTAAAATATAAACAACTTGCATAAGTTTTCCGGCAGAATTTGATTCTAGCCATAACAATATTGTAGTTTCAACAAATATATGCCTACGTAAATTAGTGCATCTTTCAAAAAATACTCCCAATCAGTTCTCTTCATTTCCCATGCGAATTTGGCTATAGCGATAGATCATTGCAGATAATCAATAAATAATATAAGCGCGTTCTATGCACAACGAATAAACAGCGATTACCATCGAGTGTATCAAAATGCTCAAGCGCACCATCAAAGAACTGCGGCAAAAGGAGTTCCAAAAGTGATATGAACTTCCTCATTTGTTCGTTTATACCAACCAATAAATAGTGATTCACCAAATTGAATTTGGCCTGTTCCAGTGCTCGTTCACTACCAACTTCACTGAAATTCAATCATCAAAAGAGCTCGTTGACTGTCTCAATTCGAAGAATGCTATTCGTTCATACATCAATAATCCTTTTATGACAATGTCACCTATAACATTAGATATGTTCCCAAATATGAAGGTGAGCTTGAAGAAATATTCCAGATGAAGTCGCTCAAAACATGTTTTGAAAGTATGTGATAGGAAACGAATCTTGAAGTTCGATTGAAGGCTTATACTTATTGCTGGAAACTTAAAGGTTCTGAGTGAAGGATGATCTCGGGCAATGGCAATAAGTCTACTTTGCAGAATTTTCAAAATCAAACTGAAATATCGACCAAGGAATTCTTTGAGAGGATAATCATATCACCACTGATTGTTGAAAGATCTATTCTT